TGTGTGTGTGTGTGTGTGTTTGTAGGTGTGTGCATGTGTGTGTGTGTTTGCAGGTGAATGTGTGTGTTTGTATTTGTGTGTATGTGTGTGTGTGTTTGTGTGCATGTGTGTGTGTGTTTGTAGGTGAATGTGTGTGTTTGTAGGTGTGTGCATGTGTGTGTGTGTTTGTAGGTGAATGTGTGTGTGTGTATGTGTGTGTGTGTGTGTGTGGGTGTGTGTGTGTGTGTGAGAGTTATCTGTGTATCTATGGGTTTGTGTCTTAGTGATCTTATATTCTTTGCATCTATGCATGTTTGTGCCTGTTTGAGGGATTGTGAATTGGCAATCTAAACCTCCATCTGAAAGGAGATCGCCTTCAGGGGAACAGCGCATGCTCTCAAGATATCTGGCAAAGGCTGATCCTTTCCTATCAAAACTATCTGCTAGCAGGGATTTAATTGTATATTATATATATACTGCAGGCTTTAGATTTAAGTGAGATGTTCATTCCAAGTCTGGTTGATGATATGGAAAGCAATGGGATAGATAGATACATGTGTAGGTTTATTTAGGTGTTGTTATAGGTCTATACAAACGCAGGGATCAGAGATCACCTTTCCTTTCACTGTTTCATAAAAGGTGGTGGTTCAATTGCCTCTCTGGCACCCTGAGCAGAGTGCTGAATCAGACAGCTATACCCTGCTGATCCACTGACTCCTGTTGGCCTGGTGAACTTCTTTACATGCTCTACTGGTGACCTTTACTTCCATTTAGGGATGGCATATCACATTTCACACCTACGTTTGGCTACAATGATATCATAGTGGGTTCTCAAGGATAATTTCAGTAAATAGCTTTAAGGACCCAATTTTACGTTATTCGGCCAAAGCAGAGCCACTTGTTCTCTCTAGATGTTACCACACTGCACGTTTGGGTCGATGAGATAGGGGGGGAAAAACACGGCTATTATTTGTTCTTGCTGACAATGACACAAAACAACAGCTATCAACAATTGCGGACTAAAATCAGGGAGACCACAGGGTTCAGCTGTTAACTAAGTCAGAACAAGACAGTGTTATAGCATGGAGCTTGTACCTTGCTGAAGGTCGCTATTAATTCACATTTTCTGCCACCCGTGTTGGTTTTCCAATCAGCAGGTGACAGTGGTGGGTAGATTGCTTTTGATTTATAGCCCACCCTGTCCCTCTTACCTGCTCAATAAAGACTTCCCCCACCACACAAACCAGCACCACCAGCTGTCACTCACATTAAGAGAGTCCTACTGCACACAATCCATAATAGAAGCCATCTCTTTCAACAGAATATTTTATACTGAAAGACCTAATCTTTAAAGGATTATAGTAGGAATAATCTAAAGAAATATTTACACAATGTCCTCTACTAGTTGTTTCTATACATGCAGATCATTTCTATTTCATTCTATTTCAATTAAAGTTTATTTTAGATCGGTTTCAGTGTGACGCTCGCGTGAGCGTCACACTGAAACCGTGTGTGTATTCAGCCGTGTGTGTATTCAGACGTGTGTTATTGGCTTACTGTGTGTTTTAATTATGTGCGTTCTTTTTTTAATCACACCTCATTTTACGGGAAAGGGATGCGTTTGTAATACAGCATTTCTATTATAAAAAACACCTTGTGATCATTTTTATTCAGGCCTTATGTATCGTGGCCAATTACATCGGAGCTCATATAGATTATCGGCAAATCGCTGCCTCCGAACTAAATAGAATCCTTCACTGCCGTTAACAATCATCATTAAAACTAAACATAGAACTTGATTTTATTTGCCCCTCTTCTGATAATATTCTCCATAGTGTGTGCGAGTTAAACTCAGAAGAGAAATGCTTTGAAACTTGTCAGGATATCACATGGACCAGCCTTGACGGCGGAATGTTTGGTATGCATCTTCAGATAAATGAACAACAGGTGTAAACAGCGTCTCTATATTATGTGTTCGGAACACAAAAGCCACTGTAGATTATCACAAATGACAATAAACATGTTAAACATTAAAAGAATACTTTTAAATCCTCATCAGAGTGAACAGATGCAAATGTATATGTATTTTGGGATCACTGTTTTAAAACATTCCCCCCTACACTAAGTGGTGGAATGGTTTCTCCCACCATGGCAGCGTCTGTCCTGCGTAGCGCTGACTGCAAATCAATAAGCCAGTCAAACAAACAGGGCTGGGCGATCGAAGTTGGGACAATTTACGGAGGCTTCTGTGACAGGAAAGTCGACGACAATAAGGATATGTATACAGCTATTATGCATAGAATTATATATGTGTGTCATTTAGCGGAGTAAGGAGGATATCCATGCCCACTCATTTTCTACTTATACAAGGATTTTGATGTATTTCGGTAGAACATTGTAGCTTATCTGAAAAGAAAACTACCCTCCCTATTCGATTTGAGGATGATTTTTGCAAATTCTGGAAACCCACTCAGGACTCCGTATCGCAAACAGGTAAACACGCTCACATTTACCAGCCATCCACCACACATAATAAAGCACAAAGCTGATAGAAGTCGCTAAAAAGGGGGTCTGTCTGACAGCAGCACACAGCCTAAATAAACTTATAGCCGACGCTCAAACAGAAAGAAGAAACTTACTTTGGTTCGGGCTACTTATGTAACGTTCATTTGAAATGGCATGCGTTGTGTTTCTGTGCGTGATGAAGCATTCAGATAGGCCACTTATGCATACTGAGAATACCTGCTGCTCGGGCCGTGGTCCACTGCTGGGGGGGATACAGGCCTGTGACCACAGTTGATGCTGTATTCTATGGTTATAGTGGCCAAATAGTCGACTGAACCCTCTAATTGCATGACTTTGACATATTTTGGATCATTAAAAAAAAAAAGTACACGAGCTGACAACGAACACCACTTCACAGAAACTCGATCGAACAGATGTTTGCAATTTCCATACTATATATATAATTGTTTAAACCAAAGGTCACCTAAAATGTAATTCCCTGTTTGCTTGCAAATTTGTTTTTCTCTGTGTCTTCCAGAATGATAGTATGGCTGTTCCATCTAGATTTTCTTCTTCTTCAAAACTCCCTTCGGCCAAACGATTTGAATTGGCATATTTACTCTGAAGTGCTCGCGCTGTTATCCTGTGGCTAGAGCTCCATGGGCGAGGCCTGTTACTGGAAGCCCTGTGTATTTCCACTTCGGATATGACAGGCTCTGCCGGTCTGGAGCTGGCTGATAAGATGCCGTCCTCTCCCCATCACAGGCTCTCTCACAGTCCTGCAGTAAGCGGCTGCATATGTATGAAAACAGAGAAGGGAAGTTTTACTCACCTGATGCCCAGACTGAAAATGTAGCTCGGGGCTCTGTGGCAAGCAGTCTTTCAAGAACGACTTGTCTTGTAGTGCTAGTTCATATGTTATGAACTATTGCTTGATTGTATCCGATGCATGGAAAAAAAAATTAAAAAAAACCCTATGATGATTAAGACCGAACTAGTATGATGACACATGCCACCTTTACTTGGGCACCAGTGAGGTCTTTTAGAAAATATTTGGTGCCAAACTGAGGTTTATTCAGTGTAAGTTAAGGAGTAATTCCTGTTTCTTTGGTAATTCATGTTAAGTACGTTTTTGGCCTGAATGTTGCCTAATCTGCGATTCTGGTAATCACCTCCAACAAATCGGGAAAATCCATTTACAGTCACGCCCCGGTTATGTTGTTTGTAAATGAGGACTCGTCATGAGAGCAACTGTGACATATTTCTCATTTATAATAGTGCAGTGTGATGATAAGGTTTTTTTATTTCATTTTCCGAGAATCGCAAAGGATTTTGTGACTATACTCTTCTGTCACCTATTCACGTAGCAACAGTAGCAAGATTATTGCTGGTATCTTTATGGCGATTACTGAGGGGCAGTTTTTTTTTTATCAGATAATCCTTTGTCTTTAATTTGTGGAACAATTTAGTTTGCGCCATTATAGTGAAAGTTCATTATTTGAACTTTGTGACACAGAAATGAGGACTTGTGCCACCAGTAAGTCAAACTTCTGTCGTGGTGAAGGCATGTGAGGCTGTTGACCAGTCGGTCACAAGAGAAGATTCTCTAGTCTTGACTTGGGTTGCTCAATCCTGTCACCACTTCATGCTTGGGATTCCTTCAGCTTCCTCTCAGCTTGTGATTCCTCAGAGGGGAGAGGGGAGGAGGGGGGGGGGGGGGGGTAATCAGTGTTGGATAGTAAAGAAGACAAATTCCCAAAGGAGAGAGCTCTCTCTCTCTCTCAGACTACGACATCTGTCTTGTAAACATAGAGCTAAACAGTTGCCCAATCGCTGAAGGATTTTTGATTTTTTTTTTCCCCCTTGTCAAAGGAGAGGCATTATAAGAAATACTTAGACTTAAAAAAAGGAACAAAAATGTAATAGTACGTGAAATTCAAAGTGCCAGTTGTTTGACTTTTTTTATTTTCTGTAATCTCAGAGCAAAACAAATTGGTTTTTTTTTTTTCTTAAATGAATACCAGAGGTCACTGAAACCATTCTGAACATATTTCTAAAGCGGCTCATTAATGACAGTGCTCAGGTTAAGAAGCTACAAGCCCCTGTGGACCCTGATTGTGCTGACTGCGAAGGTGTGATGGAGATTTTTCGGCAGATATGTATCCTCACACTGGATAGAAATCAACGTGATACTAATGATGGGGTGTCCAGACAGTTCCCCCCCCCCCACTAATATGTGACCATATGTGACTGACTTGGTGAGGGCACACAACAGGCCTTCATTGGTTTGTGTATCTGTGAAGTTATACACAGAGAGACATCTACTCATGTTTACCTGTTTGGTCTCTCCCGCCATTTCCAGACGCAACAGCCCAGCTTTTATCAGCTCTACAAAGCTCTGGAAAACCCACTGTACGCTGTTTGCCCAGCACCAATCAGCAGACACAGTTATCAGCCATTTGGTGAACGTACTGGAGTTTTTTTGCAGCATAATAATCTCCCTCGGGAGGTGGCGGAGAGCAAACAGAGCTAAAAGAGAGGGCTTATTGGTATTCCATTCAACAGATTGCCAGAAACACAACTGTAAAGGAATGCTAATGTCAGTCTGTATGTGCTGAATGTGTATATAAGCCCATTTGTTTCCTAAGAACTTTGCAATATCAACTTTGAAAGGGGAAATAATGTCAATACTATTCAGCTTGTTACCTCTGCCCAAAAGTGGCTGCAAAATGAGTTATTGCAGGTTTTAAGAGCAACTTAACTTCCCCATAGAAATTGTATTTCTGCGGGCCTCCAGTGGTTTAACTTCCCACCTTGCTGCAGTAATGTACAAGTGTACTCCAGGGTCTCTCAGTACACTCTGACATCAGAAGCACACTTCTGACTCCACTCGACCACACCCATTAGAGATGCTGGTTGTGGTCAGAGGCGTATCATTCGTGTAGACTTGAGAACTTTGAACCTCGACGATAAACAATATTATTTAATACATTTTTTTCTGTGTTTCCCTGTGTATTCCAGTCACCTTTTGCCCCGTCGTCACACCCCATGGCTCCACCCAGCCCGAGCAACCACAGCAGCAGCAGCAGCACTGCAGGCTGGGACCAGCTCAGCAAAACGAACCTCTACATCCGAGGCCTGTCCCCTTCAACCACAGACCATGACCTGGTCAAGCTCTGTCAGCCGTGAGTACCACACTTCCTCTCGTCATTATCTGCTATTGATCGGCCATTGATTTTTTGGCCTACTTAGTTTCGGAGTTTTAGAGAGTAGTGAGAATCAGCGGTGGCAGTCGTTTTTGACACACATTTGTTCAAATACAAATATGGTGTAAAAATGTAAAAGGCGAGCTGTAAATATGCATATTTTATTAGTAAAATTGCACACTTATTTTATTGAAACATCCGAAACTGTATTCATTTTTGTCTTTGTTGTAGTTTACAGTAGTACAAGTCCTTTCTAATAAGTTGACTTTGAATGACACATTTAGCCATAGGTTAGTTTAAATATCTTCCAAGAAATAATTTAAGATTTTATTATCTTTCTATGAAGAATAGAGTCGTTTTGGACCATGCAGAGTGCGCGGTGAGACACCTAAGGATTTATATGTGTATATTTGAAATTATAACAAATGCAGCCGTATTACAGACTTAATTTAAACATGAAAAATATATCTGGGAAGCCAAACAAGGACAAAGTGTATATGATGAGCATGTGTGGCACAGCAGCAGGGGTTCCATATATCATGTGTGTGAATAAAGGAGCGATATTGTCAGCTTTGGGCTCATCTACAGCTCTCTTTGTGCGCTGATGCCTTATATTTGCTGAGCAGAGAGACCACCCTGGTGCCTCAGAGATTTTATTCCTTCTTCTTTCCGAGGCCCTGACTTCAACAACACAAAGCTGCAAATTCATTCTTTGTGTGTTTAGAAATATATCACATATTGAAATTGGCCTCAGCAGTGACACTGTATTTTATTCGTCTTTATTTTATTTCATTAAGCATTCAGATGGATAAAAAACAATCCTCAAAATGATTTACTGTGAGAATGTATTTCTTTTTACTTTGAAATTATGGATTGATTCAAAAATGGATCTTCGGATTTAAGACCAACCTAAATGCCACAGTTTAATTTTTACTTTTTAATGTACAGAAATACTTCTCACTTCAAATGTGACCAAAAATATTGGACGTGCTGGTAATCACTATGTACATGTCGATGGTTAAATTACCCTCCTGGTGAACTGCAGAGTACATCGTGGCTTTTATCACAGTCACTGTGGATTATATAGGTCATTTTTAACATGATACCTATGGGCTGAATTCATCCACTGTAGTTGGCCAAATGGAAAACACACATTGAAGGAAATATATTTTAAGAGAGGCCTATGTACATTACGTAACTCTCAATTTTAAAGATGTTTTTTTCCCCACTTCATAGAGTATATTAACTCCTCTGGGCTGTGCAGAGTCTGTAGACAGTCTCATACAGTGGTTTACTTAAAAAAAAAGGACTGTTTAACTTTGCACTCGCATGCAGGGGATTTTAAGCACCACATGGAAACCACTTCCTGTTTCTCATATTTTTACGGTGATGCCATAGATTATTGCTCAACCCTCCCTCTCTGCGTGTTTTATAACTGGCTCAGTCTGGTAGATAATCCAGCTAACAATGCCTCGCCTATTTGCTCCTCCCCTAGGTATGGCAAAATTGTATCAACAAAGGCCATCCTGGACAAGACTACAAACAAATGTAAAGGTGTGTGAAGTTGTTCTTCTCTTTCCTACACTGCTCTCTTTTACCTCTCCTCTGATGAAGTATGTATCAAGAAACCTCATGAATCTCCCGGCAGGATTTTTCAACATCGTCAAAAGAGAATATCGTTTTAATATGTTCTCAAAAATTGGTAGACGTCCAATGTGGGAATTCTATCAAAACATCAAGTCATTCGACAGCTATGCAGTTGTGTCAGATGATCCGGGCAAGTCGGGAAACAGACAGCCAGGCCGCTTAAAGCTGCCTCCCAGCTGATGTTATTTTAAGCCCTCAGCCCTTGTCTGCCGGTTTGTCGCTGCTGTGGGTGTTTCCTGGGAAGAAGTAGCCAACTCCTCCTCTTCATGCTGAGTGTCGGCGTTGGTCTGATTCTGCCTAGTGCTGATGGGATTAGGAGAATGTTGTCACTCTCCTCTGGTTTATGCAGAAGCAAGTTAATTGATGGCTCTCAGTGAAAAGGGGCACTGTTAAAGACCTTGTAGAGCTCTGACTGAATTTTGCATAAAAGCCAAAAAGATGGTTTGGCAATAACTTTGTGCGGCCTTGAGTTTCACTCATTTCAGAACTTGGCTCTGATAACTAATGCTGTGTCTCAATTTGTATACTTCCGTTACTAAACTTCTATGTAGTACACTCTGTAGTGTGTGAATTTTGACAGGGCAGTGTTCTCAAATCAAACGCGCTTGTTGTGCATTTACTGGAAATGATGAACGCAACATTTTACTGTTTGTTCTTTTTAATGGCAAATAGCAACCGGATGGAGTAATAACAATTTGAATGCAATTGTCGACGGCCAAAGTATCTGCCGGCTTGTTTGCTCACCTGACAATTATATTAAAACTGAATAAGAATGAACTTGATTTTACTTTTCCTTCTGTGTCGCCATTTGGATAGTGCGGTGTTCGCCGTAGCAAACGCAACCACTGCAGCTTCCTAAGCTACCCTTTTTACAAGTTTGGTGGTCCCTCCCTTTCAGCCTCGTAGCTTAGATGGCAACCATTAAGGGTGAGAAGTTTCCAGCATTCCGCACGCGACTTTATGACTCCTATAAGTACACCGTCCGGGTGCATTTTGCCATACTTGTCAGTGTGAACGCGCTTATGCACTCAAGTAGCAAGTGTTAGTACGCAAGAACGCAAGTTGAGACACAGCGTAAGACAAGGATTCACATTAAACTTTGAGTACCGATGTGACTCGGCTGAAAGCACCCTGACATATTCACCTTAATTAAGCTTGAAAAGGTTAAATATAGCAGCTGCGGTAGAGGGTAGGGACCATAGGTTCACCCTGTTTGTACCCCCCAGGACAAAGAGCCGACCTGAGCCATGAACATCACACTGGTATCTGCATCCTCAGCACATTTCTACCTCTCCTTCCACCCACACACACACACACACAAAAGCTCACTTAAATACAATGTAGACAGTTAAATATACCAATATAATACAGAACATACAGACATACACATTGGAAATTAACATAGTGAGACACGGTAAATAAAGTTTTGTTATACCTCCCTATGAACACACAACCCATCACCATCTGCCACACAGGCATAGGTCCTCCCACGCAACACTGAGGCTCAGTCATTTGTTTGTGCTGGCTATATAGAACATTGTGCTAACTGTGCTGCTTGTCTCCTCAGGATATGGCTTTGTGGACTTTGACAGCCCCGCCGCTGCTCAGAAAGCTGTGGCCGCCCTGAAGACCACTGGTGTCCAAGCTCAAATGGCGAAGGTGAGGATTCATTGCAGTCTAATCCTGATATCACGCTCATACACGTCACCCAATAATCCCGTTTCTCTTCCATCTGTCTGGCGAGGAAACCTAAACCTAATCTTTGTGCTATTAGATAGCACGACTGGAATCCTTGACTGCAGAGTGTGTGCTCCCCAACTCGGTAGTGACTCTGAGAGTTGAATCATGAAGGAAGCATGTGCTGATAACAGTAAATATACAGGTTGTGTCTATGGAACTGAAATTTGATTTGAGGCTCAGTTTAGCACCAGATTAACTGAGAGACTTGCATCTATTTCCAGAATCAATGTGGCAAATGTGCACAAAGTTGTTGAAGCTTGAATGTCTCAGTTTGCGTGTAAATATTGAAAAGTGTCTGTTTGATATATAATGACCTGCGAGGTCACAATGTCAGTTACTTACAGATGACATTCACAGTGAGCATTTAAATGCATTTAACTGTAGTATTCTATTGAGACATTGGCTGTGTCATTATAACAGCATGCTGCTTTTTATGCTGCCACCTGCTGCCCTCTGCGTGGTGCTCCGTCTTTCTCTCTTTCTTATTTGTCTCATTCTCTCCTCCATCTCATGTCCATTTTTTTTTTTTCATTTTGGACTCTATTTATAATCTATACGTGTCTGCGTTTCCCTGCATGCGTATCCATCATTGATGGTTCTCAAAGGTGTTCTGTCCGCTGACAGCTCCCAGCCAGGCTTTCGAAGGGTTTTGCATACGAGTGGCGCCAATAGTCAGACTATAGAGGGTAGAGATTGGTGGCGCTGACAGTGGGATGACGTAGCAGAGACATTATCCACCATGTGGACATGTTTAGGGAGCTGAAACTAGTCTTTCTGTCTCCTTCAAAGCACCATTACACAAACAAAAGATTATTTTACTTAAACCTTGCAAAAATGAACTTGCAGCAAATGAGGCTTCATGCTGCAAATATGTTTAAAAAAACCATTGGCAAACATTGCAGGAAATACAAAAAAAGTATCTTCTACAGTAGATACAGTAGATGCATTAAAGGTTATTGCACTATTGCATTAAAGGTGCCTAGTGTTTTGTTGACAGACAGTCATTAATACACTACAGCTCCAGCTTTAGGAGTTTTTTGGATAAAGGGCTTTTAAGTAGGACTGTAATACTTTAATATGCTCTCTGACATCAGTAAAGGAAGTAAATAATTGTGTGTTGTTATGGTAACAGGAACCAGTCAGGGGAAATTAGTTCCCATACGACACCGAGCAAGAACCCTTGGCCTCATTTCCCTGTCTGGGGATCTGTAGAGCTTCTTGACATGCCTCTGTGCACCCATTTTACTTTTTTAATTAAAATAGAGCAGCTCCAAGGGGCTTGCTGAAGTTTAATCTTTGTATTGTGGAAGGTAAATGCCATTATAAAGTGTGAGCCTTTCACTCTAGCTTTATTCTCACTATTGCTGAAGCTTGTTTGAGCTTAATGGACTCTCTGACAAAGGTCCCTTTTCCTGTTTTTTTTTATCTGCCCAGGCACCCTTAATGGACTTTCTCTCATTATTATTTCAAAGGCAGCTGGTGGGAAGTGGCCAGATAAGAGTTTCCCTTCTTTTTACCATGTTATTCCAATTCATGTCTTGTAATACTCGATTCTGTGCTTCCCTTTCTCTGTATGCATATTGGGCATTTACCGTAAGTTATTAATATAGTCAACATTGTATATCGTGGAATTATTTTAGATGTTTTTATCAAGCTGCGGGAATGACATTAAAAGAGGAATGGCATTGTTTAATATTGTTTCTTGTGACCGGAAAGTCACAGTGAATGTGGGCAGAGGAAGTGAAAGAGCAGCACTTGCTCTTTGCCACACTTGTGAGGGCCCTTGGGGAAGACACTCAAATTCCCAACTGCTTCAGTGGAGCTGCTGAGGGGCCAACAGATAAGGCTGAGACGGTACTGGGCCCTCACCAGGTGTGAATGTGGAGTATTTAGTTCCGAAACAAAAAGCAGAAATTCTACCCTAATATATCCTTGTAAAGGTAAACGTGTGTATACTGTAGATCACATACTTTTTACAGCATCCTACGCATCTTGTCTCTGTAGTGAGGCAAAGAGTAGCTTCACATCCATCTTCATCAGCTCTTCTTCCACAAACGTGCATCAGTCACAGTTAATGAATGACTGATGGGTGGTGACCCATCCAAAGCACAAACGGATGTCTTATCTCACTGCCATGTTGTTTTCCCTCCGTTTCTCTGAGCCTTTTTTCATACATGCTGTTGGTTTTCTTTCTTTCAAATTTCTCTCAAGTGATGAAAGTCTGTTTAAAAACAGAGACGCTGCTATGGTTCACTTACTGCACCAATAGAACATGTGACCATTCACTTCACCCTCCGACTCTCTTTGAATAAGTCACGAATATCATTTCTTCTGGAATACAAACTATGTCACAATAAAGGCCAGGCCAAAATGTATCTTGCATGAAGTAATGTATACAAACAGAAAATAAACCAGCATTCAATTTTTAAGAATTTACCATTTGCCTAATTGGGGGCTATTAAGTGAACAGTTACCAGTTTAAATGCTCGGCTCTGTAAAAGCAGGTAAGTGTATCACTGAAGGTCTCCTGCTCTCTTTTGAGTTATAAGAGCTGCATAGAGCTGAGGTGTTGAAACGGATGCACCCCTCACTCCATCATCCCATCTCTCCTTCCATCTGTGTTCAGGACCGACTCCTTGTGATTGGACTCCTTTCACTGTGTTTTGTTGAATATTTGTTGAAAGTCAACATTTCTGTTGAAATGTTGACTTTACTGCCAGTGTACTAAATCAACCTGTCCTTGTTAACTGACTCTGAACAACACAACGCTGATGGATATTTATGGTGGGAGGCCGCTCTACCCAGGGAATTGTTTCCGTGTCTTATGTTTCTGCTGATGCTATTAAAATACAGCAAGAAATCGGCTGATGTGAGCCTCAAGCTACTGTGGGCCGCATGCAAATGTCTTTCCATCACTGTTCACCATGACCCTTTACTACCTAAAACCCCCAACAGAGACAGACAGGAAGAAGCAGAGACACGTTAACCCCTTTACTGATATCCCTTTTAAAGTCCATTAAACGTTTAGCCATTTCCAGGGATACGTGATATGGAATTTTATGGAAACCCCCTCTTCTCTTCTCTTTGTTACTAAAGCCAGTGGGAACGTGATACCACAAAGGAATGTTTTTGTGTTTTCCAGGTGTTTCAATAATTTCCTATAGTGTAATTACATTGCCTCTGGCTTCTTTTTTTCACTGTCCAGCAACAAGAGCAAGACCCGACAAACTTGTACATCTCCAACTTGCCTATGTCTATGGACGAGCAGGAACTGGAGAACATGTTAAAGCACTTCGGCCAGGTCATATCCACACGCATCTTGAGGGACTCCAGCGGAGGCAGCAGAGGAGTGGGCTTTGCAAGGTCAGATCATTGTGTTAGTCATTGTCAATGACTCGTGGTCCTGAAACAATATTAAGAGATAGTTAGCATTTTAACTATGTCAAATATGACACAATGGTATGATTAAACTAAATAATATGTCAGCCCTGCGAGATAGTGGCAACCTGTCCTGGGTGTACCCTGACCTCGCCCCAATGTCAGCTGGGACCTGAACAGGCTAAGCGGTTAAAGATAATGGATGGATGTACCAGTGAAATGGAAGTGATGTCAAGGAAAGGAGACAATTGGCAAGATCTCCTTTACAACATTAGACAACAAAGACTATGGGAAATGTGGCTGTTAAGATAGAATACTGCTGAATATATCAAAGGATCCGTAATACCAACAACTAAGAATTTCAAATTGTTTATAAAGATTTAAAACTCTGATTTCTCATCATAAAAATCCCCATGCAGTTCAATGCAGAATAGGTTTCATTTCTGAAATGAATACTTAAAAACACATGGCTATGGTGATGAGAAAAAAGGCGGAGAGAACAGTTCATGAATGAACAAATGGAAACTTCTAATGAGAGAGAGTTTCACAATGACTGGGTGATTTAATTATAGAAGCACCGGCCGTACTTGTACAACCTGACGTTTGACGGTAACCCTGACAGGCGGTGCCAGGGTCACGATTGACAAACATTATAATGCCTCATTGGAATGTTTGTGTAAGTGGGTGTGCACTAATAGGTCCGTGTGGCCAAATGGTGGAGAGTGTACAAGTCTTTTACAACATGTGTACATTTTGTCTTTCATAACTTCAGGATGGAGTCAACTGAAAAATGCGATGCAGTCATTTCTCACTTCAATGGAAAGTTTATTAAGACACCTGCAGGTGTTCCAGGTAAGACTTGCAGTATAATGATCTAATATTGCCAGGTACGCACTGCATGTAAAATATTCTAGTTCAACTGCCATGCCATAAATATACTACGTGAAAGAAAATTTCCGGATGTATCTTATTATGGCTTTAATTTGTACAAAGTTAATAGATGGGATGAAGTGGTCAGCCAACTGATTCTTGCCTCCAGCTGGAGTCAGTGAGTCTGCTGCTCATACATACTCGGCCCTAAGGGGGAAGAGCACAGACAAAGAAAACGTGAGAGAGAGGGAGCTGCTCTGTGTGGCGTCCGCTCCCTCTCTAAGCTTTTTAATTGGATTATTAGACTGAAATAGTCTCTGCTGGCCTTGCCTCCTTTAGGAAGGGGAGGGGATTACAGCTCCACAGCTGCCAAGTTAGATGTCTGCATTCCCAGGCTGGCTAGTAAATGTGCACTCCCAGGCTTCAGGCAGTGAATGACTGTATGGCAAGCAATAACAGACGGCAACGCGTGTATGAGATAACGTTTAACACGAAGCCTTTTACTGTATTCTCTCGCCACTGATCTCTCTTTAGCGCCATCTGAACCTTTGCTGTGCAAGTTCGCTGATGGTGGACAGAAAAAGCGACAAAGTCAAAATAAATTTACCCTGAATGGTCGCGGTTGGGGACGCGACAGTGACAACAGACTGGTAAGTGGTGATGGAAACCAACCCATAAATAATAAATCTTAAGTGTTGAATGATAAACAACAGAGCGTGTCAGAAATATTGATGAAAAAAGCAGAAGCACTTTAGAGCGACTCTATTGTTTAGTGTTGCTGAAGAGTCGTCTTCTATAAATCTCACGGATCCTATCAGTAGCTACTCATTTTTATTGAGTTGTAATCCTGGTTATGTTCCCTGCTGTTAATTATGAAGTCTTTTGTAGTCAAGGGTGCCCTCTTTCAGGTGTGAGCACAATAGATACACAATGGACCGTCGTTGGGATGATGTTGTGTTGGTTAAGTGTTAGTGTCACAAGCTTCTCTTTAGTCGCCAAACCTGTGCCGTCCTTTGTTCCCAGGCCGGAATGACACTCACATATGACCCCAGTGCAGCTGCTATGCAAAATGGGTAAGCTACAACAACGGAGTAGATTGCTCTGTTCGTGGTCAGAATACAATTCATTGGGTTTAACTTACTTTATTTTATTGAATTACACTTTATTCTGTGTCCTCAGATTTTTCCCACCAGCATACAGTATCTCCAACAGGATGCTCGCTCAAGCATCCATGTCTCCTTACATGTCTCCGCTTTCAACATACCAGGTTTGAATCCCTCCCTTCAATGTAGCTTTGACACTGTAATTCAACAAAGACTTTGCATGCGTCAGTTTCACACGCAGTAACTCGGCTCACCCGTCCTCTGGTGTTTTTTGAGGTGTGGATTAAATATGTGGATGAGTGTGTGGACAAAGGGCACAGTTGCCTTTCATGCTTGTTGCCGTCACAGTAGCATGTGATCTCTGGAAATGGCAGCTGTTCAATGCCGGTGTGTTTACACTGTGTGTTTGTGTGGTGCTCCAGGTGCAGAACCCATCCTGGATGGCCCATCAACCCTACATCATGCAGCACCCAGTAAGAACAAAATCTCTCCTCATCATCACTGTCTTCCTCACAACTCTATCTTCCCTTTTTTCTCTTTAATCCAAACATTTCCCTCTGTGGTTGTAACAGAAGTGAAACATTTCTCTGTAAACAGACAGACACAATATGGGAGAGTAGTAGTTACACATAAGGTGACGCTGATCCTTGAGAATTTACAGTACTAAAGTGTTTTGTATAGGAAAGTAAAAACGACTGCTTCGGAGAGGCTATGTGAAGCTGTGTATTTGATGACAGATGTCGAATATTTTTTTTTATCACGGATGGGTTTGAACTGCGAGAGAAGACTCCTTTCTTACTTTGAAAGGGAGCCAGCATAGATGAGAAAACACTGCTAGATGCATCAGGCCAGCCAAGATGCTCATAGACAACTTGCTCAGCTTGTTACATTTCACCTTCTGGTGTGGGCATTAGATGTGAAGTCTGAGATTACTGTTACTCTTTGCCTGAAATCCAATCCTGCAAAAAAAAAAGCACATTAACGCATATACATCCCAGATATTCTGCATACTTTACGTGACATTCTATCATCTTTAATCTATATGTTTTTTGAGGAATATATTATATATATAT